AGTGACAAATGAAAAGTTAAAGAATAGTTGAAGCCAAAATTAAAGATCATACTGATCAATGGTAGTGAAAAATGAAAAATTAAAGAATGATTAAAAGCCAAAATTAAAGACCATACTGACCAATGGTAGTGAAGAATTAAAAAATAATTGAAAAATTGAAGGCCAAAATTAAAGACCATAGTAACCAATGGTAGTAAAAAGTGAAAAATGAAAAGTTAAAAAATGATTGAAAATCTGATTAAAGGCCAAAATTAATGACCATACTGACCAATGGTAATGAAAAGTGAAAACTGAAAAGTTAAAGAATGATTGAAAATCTGATTAAAGGCCATCTTGACCAATGGTAATGAAAAGTGAAAAATGAAAAGTTAAAAAATGATTGAAAATCTGATTAAAGGCTAAAATTAAAAGCCATACTAACCAATGGTAGTGAAAAATGAAAAAATTAAAGAATGATTGAAGCCAAAATTAAAGACTATACTAACCAATGGTAGTGAAAAAGTGAAAAGTGAAAAATCAAAGAATGATTGAAAATCTAGTTAAAGGCCATCTTGACCAATGGTAATGAAAAGTGAAAAGTGAAAAATCAAAGAATGATTGAAAATCTAGTTAAAGGCCATACTGACCAATGGTAATGAAAAGTGAAAAATGAAAGATTGAAGAAGGATTGAAAATCTGATTGAAAAATGAAACAAAATCACCATACTAACCAATAGTAGTGAGAGTGATGAAGCAGAAGTACGCAGAATCGAGAAACGGCCAGTGTTCCCATGCACTGAACAAGAAGGCTCCACCGAAAATGTAGCTAACCACCAGGAAGACACAAAGCCAGATCGGGACCGGTTTTATCGGTTGTCTCTCTTGATCGTCGTTGACGTAATACTCATAATCCGAGTCAAAATCATCCACGTACGTTTGTCTGTGTAGAGGGAACCCGGTCGAAGACGTCAGATCCAACGTGTCTCTTCTATAGGATCGAGCTTTATCAAAGAAGAAGAAAAAGAAGAAAGTGCTAGAAATTCAATTGAATTTAAAAAAAAAAAAAAAAAAAAAAAACTAAATTACAGAACTAAGTAAAGACTGTTTAACTCAAAGGGACTTTAATTAATTAGAAGATTTCTGCGTGTGAAAGACTTGCATTGGTGTTTACCAATGGGGTAATTGGTTCTATAACGCCTGGTTTTTGAAACCTGGGACCTCCTGGAGTTCTCTAGTTCCAAGTAAATGGACGACGGTCGTAAAGGCGGTGCCAGGTTCGTTCTGTAGTTGCTGGTCGCACCTTCCATGGATAAGCATCTTCTGGGCAACGACCTCGTCACTAATGGTGCTTCCCCTTGTTTCTCCCCGTTTTCTCGGTTCTCCTCTGCTTTCACTCGCGATTCGCTCGCACTGCCTGCTACGAACGACCACGATCACGTTTATATTATATTATTTATTAAAGCGCAGAATTGAAATTCCCCTTTTCAATCAGCATCTGTATGAGGATATGAATGTGTGTGTGTGTGAGAAGTTTATACACTCTACACGCGTTTGTATATTTTAATAGCACGCGATATATTTCGCTGATTAATTTCAATTTGGCTTACGGTCGTTATTCTTTTCCTGCCAGTGTCGCAATTCCTTCTCCAACACATCCAACGCGTATTTGTTGCACAAAACCGCCGAACGATCGGTGTCGTTGTTCGGTGAACGCAACTTCCTGTCTAACGATTGCGTCGTCATCTTGGGACTGG